GAGTAGCCATCTGCATATAATAAAGACATGGAATATAAAATGACCATGCCACAAATTTGAACGCCAGAAGAATCATCATAGTCTATCTAAACCTGCGGCGGTTAGTTAACACGTATGCTTATTCAGCTTTAGGCACCCCGAAAGCTGAGAACTTCCACCCAGGGCATGGCTGACTTCAAACTTAACTTACTGGAAAACTAGGGTAGACTTCCAATTTGAAATTAATCTTCTAGTTTAGTAATGAACCAAAGGAATGCCAAAGTTGCTAGCATGTTGCAGCAGAATTCCTACCAATCTCACCAATATTCAGCACACCTTAGGCTACTAGTTGACCAGATTAATCAAGAGTTATTACATATTTAATCAAACAGAAAGGATATTTTTACAAATCATTTACAAATCAAACCGGCATGGCTGCACCAGCATTAAGAGCCTTGCCCATCTCAGTTCATGTCATGGGTTGTACTCCAGTAAACCCCCTTGAAATGTAAATATACACTTCTCATCTGGTTTCTGTAAGACTCCAGAGCCTAATGAAAGAATAAGAAGAATGAACCAATAACATGCACACTTGGGAATTGATTCCTAAATCTTCCGGTGCATATCTGCACTTTTAAATCCTTCAAACATAAAATATATGACTAAGAATTTTCAGTGATTATGATATAATACAAACAAGATGAGATTGAGATAAAGATTCTGAATGAACTATACAGAGAATAAATCCAATATTCCTCAGAGAGTTATAATTACAAATGAGGATCCAGGATTAACTACAACAGGAATAAAGCTCAACTTGAACGAAATCTGAGTTCCAAGGAGAGAAATCAGATTTATAAAGCATTAGACTATAGCCTATTTGTGGTACATTATTCTATCCAATCATAAGAAGCACACTCCACAACTAAATAGTCTCCACGGATATCTTTTGCAACTCGAATATCACCATCTAGGTATACAGACTTGAACCTGCAGATATTGCACAATGCACACTTAAAACACTTAACTGGAAAAGTAGGTTTTTAGTATCTTGGAAAACTACAGCCCAAGCAATTAAGTATAGAAATTGTGGTAGCGTGGTGAAAATACCATGTAGCATATTAGTTATTAGCTAGTGCTCATAAGAAAAGCCCCTAAAAGGGGCTCGAGGCAATAGAGAGAGAGACAGACAGAGAGAAGGAGAGACAAGTTGAGAGCAAGGCAACTAAAATTAGTAATTGGTATGTGCTATGCATTCCTAAAGAGAAACATGAAAGCAGAAGAAAAAAACAAGAGGAAAGGCAAAGATTTAAAAAAAACTGGTTCCTAGAGTCATGGCAGGGTCCCCATACTAGCATCTATGTTATTCAAGTTCTCAATTTAAATGCAGGATCAATTAGGGAAGCAAGGTGTTATGGATGGTGCGGATCACAAAAGAAGGAAGTCAAAGGCGCCAAAAATGGGAAGAAAGACAAATAATGATTTTATTCCTAATTAAGTAAGTCAATGGTGCAAAAATGGGAAGGAAGACAAATAATATTTTTATTCCTAATTAGAAGAGTTTATTTTAGTAAGTATTTTTATTGCAATTTAAGTCCTTAATTTTAGTTTACCTTTTTTTGCAAGAATAATTTCCTTTGTAATCCTTATTTAAGAGAACAATTGGAAGAGAATAAAGCAAATAAAATTTTCATCCAAATTTATAGAGGTTTAAGACTCTCTCTAACGAGTCTAAGGTTAGGAGTTCCCTTCAACGAGTTCTATATATATATATATATAATCATAGGTTTTTCACGAGACAAGAATCGTAACAAGGGAAAGACTACATCCATCAAAGCAGATTTTTCTATGCATCGCCCTGTAACTCGATCCGTAACCCGGGAACATAACATGAGGACACTATGGGCTCTTGTTTCACTTTTAAGTATTTTGCAGAAATAGTTTTTAAGTCATAGGGCTAATTTAATTGCCTCTTACATCTATAAACTAATCCAAATAAAATTTCCAAAGCATTCTGTACACAGAAAACACAGAGTCCAACAGAAATATCCAAGATAAGGACTGTTAGATTGATAAAATGGCTAATGATAAAACAGATACATCAAGTACATCACCATGTTCTCTTTCTTTTTCTTTCGATTACCAACTTCAAACTCTCACAGTCCAGTTGCAATTCTTAATATTCCAAAAAAGATTGTCGAGTGAATTCATGGGGGGAAAAGATGCCCAAAGAAAAAAAAAAGGTTATATGACATGAATGAAAAACCAAAGGAAATAGTTAAAGGAAATAGCAGGTGCATGACACAGATCATAGCATGAGTTTCACATAACAAAGTACTATTTTTCCTCTTATATAACTTTTGTTATATGATACTTGTTTCAGTTGATAGTAAGAAAACATAATCTTTATCAGCTCTACAGCATATCCAGTGGTTTGATGGTAAACCTGCTAGTCCTTCCTCTCAATGCTATAGTGAAAGTCAGTGGCTCCTAGCTAAACTGGAATGGTGTTAACTGAATGACAGCTCAGTGCATGTAACCTTGCCAGGGATTAAGCAAAGAATTCTAACTATCTCGGTGTGTACAAAGAGATTCAAATTAACAAGGGACATCAGGTGGTCCGCTGGAGTATAACAGCCACTCGAGCACTCTCAAAACATAGAACAGGGGAAAGCAACTCATAGCTCCATGACAGGTCTTTTAATGAGATCATCAGTAAGATTGTTTCTATGGCTAAAGTCAGATTTATTGGCTTCAACCCCCATTTAGCCACCACTCAATTGACATTAGAGATTAGAGAGAGATGCTTCAAACTATAAAGCAAGAGGTAGACAGACATGTAGCATGTTCCTCATATCATAAAGCTTGCATGACATTTGTCCATGAGTGTAGCCTGTCTTCTTTAAGCTCCTCAGCTTTGCAGTTCCTTCAACTGATAAGTTCTCTTGGAGGCCACTTTCCCTCCTTGTTTACCAAGTTGACACATAAAGGCACAAGTACTCACATAAATTCACCAGTAAAGGCCGTCCTTTTGTTCCAGGAGACTATTTATCCATGAGGGGATGTTTTATTTCTTGTACCACCAAACTTCTTATAAAGTCTCTTAGGGAATCTTGCATGGCAGCCATGGCAACATTTTCCAATATCGCTCCAAAACTATAAACCATTTGACAAACCATCTAATGAAAACAGAGAATTTTTGTGACAATTGAAAAAATACATGATGAAGAAAGAAGGAAGGGGATTTAAATAATAAAAAACAAGAATCCTAGTCCATGCATTACGGAATCTCTAAGTATCACCCCAGATTCTTATATATAAAGCTGAAATGAACTTCTAATGATTTGTTGTTTTGTGAATTTATTTAAATCTTTTAGATCAACCCTACAATTTATAAACTTCAATAATCAAAATTTCTTGGTTTTTGCGCTTTGACCTTTTTGTAGAAGAGTTAATAACTAACAATTCCGTCTATTTGGATCAACTTTAGGTCAAAAGTCAATCAGGGTTAGATTTTCTTGCCCAGGATATCTTACTGATTGAAATTCTTCATAGCTTTGAAGGAGGAAAAAATCCAAGTTCTTCTTGTTGTCTGCATCAATTGATATGGAATTATAAGGCATTCTTCTGTTAGCCACACATTTTGAAAAAACAAAATGCATCTAATGAAATGCATTTAATGAAGAAGGTGGCTCATTAAATGAAGAAGGGTTGGAGTGGTTCTTGGAGGCCTATAAATTGGCCTCCCACAACTCAAGTTGATGCATCCCCAAAGCCTCATTCTTCTTCTCTATAGCGTCCCAAAAGCTTCATTCTTCTTCTTTGTAGCCAGAGTGAGATCCTATTTAAAAGATATTAGTGTTGTTTATCTCCTTAAACAGAAAGAGGTTGTAACTCTTATTTTTCCTCATAATGGAATTCTTTTATCCTTGCCCGTGGTTTTTATCCTAAATTTATTTAGAATTTTTCATGTAAAATCCTTGTGTCTCTATTTTGTTATTTCATCTCATTAATTAGTCACAATTTTACTTTATTAGGCCGTTCATTTTGCTAACATCTTCCTCTTATTTTATATTTAATTTCAAATTTTGAAATAACAGAAAGTCTCACCACTCTTTCTTTTTATTATCCTCCATGCCGCCACCTAACAATTCGCTTTCCTCAACATAAACAAAGCATATGCTCTAAGTTAGCATATGATGACTTACCAAGAATAAATAGATGCAGAATTGCATATCTTTCCATCATTCTTTCCAACTATAAGGAGCTCGATCCACAACTAGATAGTCTCCTCGAATATCCTTCACAACTCGAATCTCGTCATCAATGTATATTGATTCAAACCTGTGAAACAAGATATCGTTCATTCTGGTCAAGAAACTAAAAGTAATATTAACATTTGAAACTAACCAAAAATGGGAAAAACACAAGAGGAAGTAAAATAAACAATGCAAGCAACAAAGTACGGTTACAGTCAATTGCAAAAAACTAGAATTGAAGGGGAAAAAAGGGCATCTCCAAGCAGGAGGCTCCTTGCTTTGCAAGGGTCACGATAGGGTATGTCACTACAAACAAAAAACTAATAAATCACTTTTGCTAAATCTAACTAGACCAAACACACTAACCCTCAAAACCAGCAAACAAGTTATTTGGTCAACAGGGGATCATAACTTGCCTGGCCAGTGGGATCATACAAAAAGATCCTCTGATATTTTGGTGGTAATAACAACAATTATGTCAATGATAAGATTACTCTAAACACTCCCAAAGCAACATTGACAAAGAAACTGGCAGAACTTTTAGCACATCAAAGTAAATGCCTACTAATCATATGCTCCTGTTTCTAGATGCTCTACTCACTTGTTGAACTAAGAGCAATTCTTCACTGCTCAAGACTTCTCTGTCTTCACAGTATAAATATAATTATATGAACCAAACAAACCCATGGAGTGCCTTAATTTTCTTTAAAGATGCGAAAGCACAATGCACTCAACACCGCCTCCCCCCCCCCCCCCCCCCTTCTAGAGAAGGAATGCACTAAGACGACCATAATAGGACAAAACAATTGAGAACTGAAAGCAAAAGATGGCAATAAGAGAACAATCAACAACCAATCAAATAAAATACACGAACTAAGACAGCAATATATAGCAATGATAACCAACAATTGGCATCAAAATGACAGAATAAGACGCTAACCAGCCCTGCCCGAATGGAGGTAACGGAAGCTCCCAATTCTCCCCACGTAAAACTGCACTTGTAAACCTTGCAAAACCAAGTCACAAGCACTATTACCGATACCGCCTAAATCACAAAATTCTAAAAATGAGGACTGAAAAGGGGGGGGGGGGGGGGGAGAGACAAACAGAAGCACTGCTATAGTTTTTACGAGGTGAAAAAAATCCAAAATTACCAGTGATTAGATAGTTCATCCAATTATTAAAATATGAAAACAATTCCGCATTCTAAAAATCAAATTATATGCAAAATTGCAAAAACAATATCAATTCATTTGTACTTACCTAAAATTAACTCTCTGCGGCGACGCAATGTCGATATTTGACCGAACAAAGAAAACACCGTGAGGCGGAAAAGTGATCACATTGTTGAGTTTGCCCTTCTCAACATCAATTACCTGCAAAACTTCACCGGCTCGGGTTCCGAAGAGAAACGCATTCTTGATGATGAAAAGCTGCTCCTTCTCTGTGGTCCAGAGTAGTCGCCACGTGGCGGACAGCGATTGTCCGGTGGTGACAGTGTCTCTGCCCAACTCGCCCATGGCGTCAATGGCATCGACGATCTCGGAAAGCTTCGAGGGATTGCTCTGCGTCTTGAGACTCGGTCCTGGTCGGAGATGAGGTCGAGAAGGCGGCGCTTGGCGGAGAGAGAGTGATCGGCTAGGGAGGAGCGAGAGAGGCTAGGGATAGGTTTTTTCCGGCGACGGTGGAGGCTGGGAAGTTCATGGTTTTGGGGGACGAAAGGTACGAGGTTGGAGGAAATGGCGGGAAGGGTGAGAACTGGGGCCATCGGGTTTTTGCGCCTTTGGCCTTCGCACATCGGGCGAAAAGATAAGCAACAGCGGGATTACAAAAAAATAAAATAAAATAAATCCTCCCTTCTAGTTTGAGCGACCTAATGGAAACCGAAAACTGGAGAGGAAACATAAGAAAGCTAGAAAAAATTTACCTTGAATAATTATTAGGGTAAATTACACAAAACCCCCCGCGTAGTAGTTTACACTTCAAATCACCCCTAAACTTTAGCATTTAAAACGTCAAAGGAAACACTTTATAATTCTGCCCTTCTGATAAATTATAGAATTCCCCCTTCATAGTATAATATAGTTTCATTTTTGCCATCCTAAGTCATAATTTTTTCAACCATTAAGCTCACACACCATTTTACACTCATAAATAAAAAAAAGACTTCATTTTTATTTGCAACAAAATACGTCTCAATAAATAATTTTTATTTATTAGTATCAAGTATTATATTAGAGTTACTTTTACTTAGGTTAATCAGCATTCATTTATTTTCATACTTGTGTACTCGTGCTTAATTGTGAGCAAAATGTTAGCTAATTAATATTGATACTGTTTATTAAGTTTTTAAAAATTTTAATCACACTTAATGTGTTATTATGAAATATTAAATTTAACTTATTTATTAATTTAGTTATAATAATAAATCATTAAATACTGTATATGATTTTTTATATTTAAATACTTATATATATAATTAAATAGCTTTCTTTAAGTTAACGATGAGATTATTTACTTATTTCTATTTGACTTTTTTTAAAATAAATTTTGTATAAATATCAAAATGTTAACTTTGGGGTGGGTACGATTTATTAACGTTAAGTGGGGCTGTCGATCATTAACAAAAAGTTTAGGATGTCAATTGTAATTCACCCAAACAAAATACAGCTCTCAGCAACCCCAAAAACAACCGAAAGTAAAATTCCCGGTTGCCTCTCTTCCCTCCATCTCTCCTTTTGGATTCGTGCTAATCACAGATATTCATCGTCTCTGCTTTTCCTAAGACAGAGCCCTGAGCTCCTCCCTCCGGAGCAGCAACGACGTAGCTCCGGAATTTCCGCTCCATTCCATGGTTCCCAGGTTAATTCGTCTACTCCCTGTTTGTTAGCTGAGAAACCTTTAAGCGGAAATCTCCGAGTTTCAATACTGCATTTACGTTTCAAGATTTGCAATAACTTTGCGTGTATACATACATTTAGGGGATTTTAATGAAGCCATGTCGATTGCTTATTGCTCGTCTTCTCGTAATCCAAGCAGCGGTGGACAATTGACTGCCGTTTGATTTGGTTTCATGCTAATTCGTTCTTGTTTGTAATTTTCCTTTGGAAATTCATATTGTTCATATCTTCAGTTGAACAACTTGGATTAATTCAGTCTGTTTTTCCGCTTCACAATGCCGTCGCTGTTGCGAGATTGAATTCTTGTCTAGGTGCTAGTACCGGGAGTAGCCGCGTTCTTTTTTTCTTTTTCCTTTCTTTTTAACCCTCTGCTAAAGCTCTAGGCTCTTTTCCCCCTTGGTTTGTGTTGTTAATTGTTAGTGATTGTTTTCACTCCTTGTAGTTCGATTCCACCTTAGTTTTATTCTTTTATCCTGTGTGATATTTATTACAATACTCTTGATTTTGACAAAATGAAAGTTTGGACAATTTGATTGCTTCAGTACTTTTCTATCCCATTTTGTGGTGAAATGTGATTTGGGCAACCCCACTTGTAACAGTTGTTAGTCTGTAAAACGAAAATTACTCAGTCATGTCACAGTTTGTACATGATCAGTACATTGAGTACAAGCGTAAACTATAGATGTATAATACAATTAAAGGTGATCAATCTTTTGGGAAAAAATACGCAGTTGTGTTTCTTTGATTGTTTGAAAGTCTGCCATTGAACCAGAAGTATATTGTCATGGACTCAAATAGAAAGGCTGTATTATTGGTTTTGAACATCATATGTCAGTGGCTGTCGCAGGCATATGATCTTTTAAATGTGTGTATGAAGTGGCTGCTAGATGACAGGCAGATCAAGAGCTATTAGAAATTTTCATTTATTTGTGAGTTGTCCTTAATTAGTTTTATTTACAAAAAATAGACTGACCTTGTGATCCAATTGGGTAAACATATATGATAAACTTATTTACAGGCTTATTGCATCATATTTTGAATTAGGTATGTTTGGCCGGCACAGTGTAGGCCTAAACCTGACTAAAACCATGATGGAAGGACCTGTTGGTGCCAGTCTCCTTTCCAATGCTACAGTCCTCGTTCAGTGATTCACTGCTTGTTCTACTGATTAGCCATCATAAGGAGTTTGGATTCTATAGAGAGAGGTCTAATCCTTTGCGATTCTATCGACAACAAGCTTGCATCAATGGCCAACAATAGAAGTACAATTTATTGATGTTCCACATGTCATATAATATCACTTAGTTTGTTTACAAGAGCATCACTTGAAGTTTTGCTTAGAGCAGATGCTCTTTTATAGTCACTAAGTTTGAGAATATGATGGGCAGTTATATAATTGCTCCAGAAAACCATCTTAAAGATACGGCTTGTAACTTACACTGAGTGACATTCAGCAAATGCCTTATCATGAATCACATTTGGATAATTCTTCTACTTTCTCAGTCTATCAGCCAAACAATCAAGTATATTTGTACATCCCTTGAATGACTAGATGCATGCTAGTTTGTTACCACATAACCACTTCCCAACAACTAATGATCCTGAGTTTAGCTTGAGACTTTAGTTCTTGGTATTATTACTAGTTTAAAGAAAATAAAGTTAAGTAGGGTGTAAAAGTTCCATTTAGGTACATCTCTTGGTCTCAGCCTGTGCCCTGGTATTTTTGACAACGAGTTGGGTACTGAGATGTTGTCCAATAGTATGAATTTCCAATTTGCTATAATTTATCCCCTTCTTACGGGTGCACTATAAGTTTGTTCCAAAGTGTAGCTGGTAAGTAAGCTGCACTCCCGGAGGAGGACCAGGATTGATTCTTGGCAAAAACACTTGAGTGTGGACTTTAAAAATTTCACTCCTGTCCTGAACAGAATTAGTCTCAAACCATAAAATGGATGCAGATACCTGTGGTTCCTGTGGTTTCAACTAAAAAGAGTGTAGCTGATTAGGCTTTATAACAGATACTTGACAGTATAAATTTGGCCATGTTTTCAGCCCAAATAATCACTTCTGAAACAGATGTTGATGATCGGGCAAGCTTTCAAAGGAAAATTTTTCATCCATTGTCCAATTAAGCAAAGCAACCTGAGAATGACAACTGGCAATATAGAGTCTTGAACTTCATAGAAACAAGTAATTCCTATCCTCACATGTTGGTGTTGGTTGTTGCCACATTATCCCTAATGCACCATCAGAGAGCTAAGAGAATACCTTTTAAGGTGGGCATGTGGAATGATCTGAATTTGACTTCCTTGTATGGTAAATACATTCAATAACTTGAGCAATTTCTTTTGACAATACATTTTGAATTTGACATAATTCAATTATCTGAAACAGAATCATTATTTCTTCTATGTGGTCAAGCTCCAGTAAAGGAAATACACAGATTATTTAGAATTATATTCTGTCATATTGAAGAACTGTTCATTGACAACATATAAGTTGAAGATGAATTCTTTGAGCTTGATAGGAAACATGTCTCTCACCAGTTCTGATGTTTCAGATAACCTTAGAGAACAGGACGCTGTCAAAACAATTTTTCTTCGATGGCCCCAACAATTTTACACTATGGAAGAATGCTAAAGAGTTGTGGATTTTGCAACTTCATGTCTTGTTAATTTTTTAAAAATATACTCTGTTAGAATTCAAAGCATTCTTGCGAATTTTGAACGGCTTTATGCACATTGCAAAAATATGAAAGAAGAAAGAAGACACAAGCATACACAAGATAAGAACCTCAACACCCCCCCCCCCCCCCGGGTCCCCCCGGAGGGAAAAAATGTTTTCTTTATTCTGCATGGCTAATTTTTAAAAAAAAAAATTGTGGATTAGGGAAATCAAGGTGATGGAAGAAATGTAGGAGTTATAGAAGATTTGTTAGATGAATTTTCACTGTCTGTACATGTTCTTGTGGCATGAATTTCAGTCTTGAATATTGTAATAGAGTTGCTCCATACTCTGCATCTTCATTCATGCTTCTTTTGGAACCCAAAGAACAACAAGTGATAAATATGTACTTCTAGTTCTGGCACTTCTTGCTTATTAACTAAATACCCCAACTGCATGAAGATTCTCACTTTCATATGCAGGCCATATTATTTCGTTTGTTCTAATTTCTATCATCATTTTACTACCATATTTGGGTGTTGACACTGCATGGACCTCTAGGGAGTGTTCATAGCCCCCATTTTAAATAGAAAAGGCCAGAAAGGCAGGATTTTGCAACCTTTTGGGCTTAAGCCCGCAAGCTGCAAAATCCTAACTTATAAAGTTTTTAGCATTTTAGGATTGAAAGCCAAAAATAGGCTAAAATTTACCAAGCAGCCCTTTAGTCCTGATAGGTGTTTGGTTCATGCTTAACTAAAAATTCACAAGATTTAGTTAAAAATCCATTACACTTGCTAAATTAAGTAAATCATTGTCATTTTTCCACTCTATTTGCTCGAACTAAGCATGGCCTATCAGTTGGCAATATCATTTTTCGGCTCTGCACTCTGGTTGGCAATGCCAGTTGCTTTATCCTGGCATATGCTGTAACTGTCATTTTAAGAATGTAAAAAGCTTAGATAGTGATAATTCCCCTTTTTAATTATATTATTCTTGCTAAAATAACATTTTGGGTGGAGCCATGAATGTGAAGGCATGTGACTATTGCAATGGGCAGCACGTTCATTGCCTAATAATCCGTACAGGCTCACGTGCCGCCTTCTCAATGAGCCTACTGTGTCATAAAAGAATTGCCTACGTTCATGGAAGGACTAAAGAATTCCCTGGCAAGGGTTTCTCCAGAATATAGTATCTTTAGCTGGAACTAACAGCATGTTAATGAAGGCCTTAATTATTTTCTTTTGGGTCAACTTACTGTGCCTTGAATTTCATCCCTTGGTAACCATGCCTTTAGCATGCTAGACAATTTGGTATTTTACTTGTAATGCTGTTATTATTTGTCAAATTGGCTCAGTGATTAAGAGTCCGTGCATCTTGCCAAGGATTAGGTTCAAGTGAATGTTGGAATCATAACTTTTTGGGCATGTGTATTTATCTTTTTGAAATTAGAAATTTTTGAAAAATTAGTTTTTACATTTTTTTTATTTTCCAGACTGAAAAACTAAATATATAAACAAAAAATTATGTTGTGGGTATTACGAGTTATGGCGAAACCTACTTGGTTCCTCAGTTTCATACCAGAAAAAAAGAAAAGGAAAATAAAAGTTT